AGATCATGACTTTGAATGAGCAAATGGGGTTCAGAGACGCCATTAAGGGTAATGGTGAGTGAACAATTTGGAAGAAAATGTGAACACAGTTTAATTTCACTGGAGCCAAGTTTCCACATCAAAGTGTACTGCATAAGTAAAATTATGTATATTGGGCAAGTGTACAAAGCAGTTAATTATTTTAATTTATAATGTTAGATTAAAAAATATTTTCAAGCAGTTTTTAGTATGATTCATTTCTTGCTCTGGATCATTCCTAGTCCTTACCTAGCCTCAACTGCATTTTCTGATGTCACTTAGCCAAAATATTTATTTAGTAATTGCTGCATTATATTGGTTTCTTTATGACTTTTTCCAATGCAAGTGCCAGTAAACCCAATTATATTTGGCTTCGACAAAATGGAATTTAGGAGTTGACATACTGAGGGGTCCCAGGATTGGCCTAGCTGCAGGCATTAATAGATCCAGTTCTTATACAATGACACAGACCTGGTACCAGAAGTGTCCCTTCCTGGTAGTGAGAGGCATGCAGTGAGTCTGGGTTTCTATACGATACATGGTGTTCCCTGTGTTGGACCGACTTGAATCATTTGCCAGTCCCTACAATAGTCATGGTGGCCACAGGGGTCTAGCGGTTGATTGACTGGGTCTGAGTAACACACCGGACTAAGAGGCAGAAGGTTGGTCTCCACACAGGCATTTTCATTACCAGGAGTAGGGAGAATGACATTTTGGGAAGCACAAATTATTAATGCCCAGGAAATTCTGTAACTGAGCCCTTTATCTGTCTATCTCCAAAATGGACATACTTCCTTTTTTCATTTTTCCTTCATAAAACAAATATGTTTGAGCATGGATAATGTGCTAGTGACTATTGCAGTGAGCAAGAGGACAGGATATCTGCCCTCATGAAGATCAAGGAGAGGTAAACAGCCACTTGTACTCATAAAGGCCCCATGGGGGTGGAATGAGTGCAAATGTGATGAGTGGTATGATGAGTTTCATATGCCAAAAATCATGGCAGATATAATCAATTATGACTCTTAAAAGTCTCACTTTTGGTTGAGGCATATTGCCTGTCAAGATAGGAAAAGGTATGAACCATTAATCTCTAGGCTCTTACTGTGTACTATTTTTCAAAAGAATAGATTGCTTTAGCTGGAAATGACACCTAGAAGAGGCGAATGTTGAAGGAGAAAGGGGACAAGTTCTAGAGCAGGAGTCCCTCGGGTGGGGTGGGCTGGAGGCACTCACTGGGCAGAACAGGGTCCCTGACATTTGGCCTAATTTATCTGAAGAGATGACAAGAAGGGGACAACGCCAAGTATAAACTTTTAAAGTCATAAAAATGTTTTATGAATAAAGTCTAAATATTTATATCCTTTCATTCATTACAGTAAAATGCCTAACATGAAAGATTTGAATAGTTAGCAGATGACAGCCATCATCTTGCTCACAGGCAAATTTCATTAACTCCTTTACAGTTGTAGCCTCCATTTTCCTTTCAGATAGTTACCCATTTACTTCACAATTAAATGTGCCTGTTCCCTGATGCCAGATAAGCACTTTTCCTTGAAAAATCAACAGGTGGCTTACAAATTTGTAGTTAGAAATACACTGAATCACACATCAATGTCACAGATGGATTTTTGAACTCAGCTTCACAGAATTGTTCCAGAAAAAGCAAATATTTAAGCTAGTAACTACTCCTACATAACCCTTCATTTTATATACAAACTTCCTACTGATGCTTAAAGGAGGATCTGTTATCTATCTATCTATCTATCTATCTGTCTATCCATCATCTATCTCATCTATCTATCTGTTACAAGCATGTCAAACTCGTGGCCCAGGGGCTACAACAACAAATATTTTTGCGGCCCAGCGAATAAAACGATATGTAAGAAACATTTTAATAAAAATTTCATGACTTAATTTTTACAATATCCTGTTATTCATAATTATTAATAAAGAACTACAATGTTCGCTAATGACTGATTACAA